CGGTTTGTATACTATTACGCTTTGTACTAGGCACTTTGTATTTGGAATCCGTTAGTGAGAAAAATAAAGTGCCGGCCCTACGCGAGGGTAAAATGTGTACCCTCTTAATGACTATTATGAGTCTATTACCAACTGTTTTTTTTCTATCTTATTAAATTCTAAAAACCAGAAAAACAGAGTATACCAAGAAACAAAAGAAACGACATAAAAGAGAGTTCCAAATAACCATATCATAAAAGAAACAAAAGACACAATAAAATACTACTTATTGATGCAAAACTAGAGTAGGGGAGCATGTTAGACTAAAAAAACAAAGAATATTCAGATTTTCTGTTTGAAACAAGTCTAGGAAGGCGCATCCAGTTTTAGGTCATACGCAATGCTTATGTAGTCTTGTATGTGCTTTCCACTGATTCCGTTCTTATGTGTTCTCTGCAGTTTGGGTTTAGAAGTCTGTTCTAGAAAGTTATGGGAGACAGCGAGGCCATGGTTGCTGAAGGTTATACCTCCGCTCCATATGGGGATTACAATGTTTCTGCTGCCACTGTCACTGTGGAATCAACTGGCCAAGAAAACGTAGTAAACCAGAGCAATGCACTAAGTGTTGATTCATCTCAATCCCTCAATAATGCTTCATTGGTGAATGGGACTGGCCCTGTAGGTAGTTTATCTGCGCCAGTTGAGAACGGAAATGCAACAGAGCATCGAGACAAGCTTGGTAATCTCTTCTTCTTCTTCTTAATCGATTGTATGAGAAAATTAACTCTTCCTCAATAGAGACATCATTTAAGGGAGCCACTCTCACTCTCACGAGAACCTGATGATATAATTCTTTGCTTATTCCTTCTTTGCTGATGCAGGCTCTACTCTTTCACCAGCATATTGTTACGGATTAGAGACGAATGGTTTGGATTACATATCTTGTATCGATTCGTTGGCTTCAGACACAACTACACACCAACCTCAAATCCGTAATTTGAGTTCAGTATATGAAGCCAGTACACAAAAAAAGAAAAAATCAACAAGCCATCGTCGAGTGAGAAGTTTGGCTTCTTTGGATGATTCTGCCTTTCTGCATCTGCTAATCCAAAGAAGCGAGTTTTGCATTTTGATTCAAATCCAGAACAATCTTCCCGTACACGCCAAGATCAGTTCCGAGATTTGGATTCAATAAATAAAGCCGAGCAGACACCAAAAACGAAAAAAATCGACGGGCCATCTTCGAGTCAGAAGTTTGGCTTCTATTTGTGGAGTTCCAGAGGGACGACATAAACAAATCAGTAAGTTTTAGATTTCTCTAACCAATCAAAACATTCTTTTTTCGTGGTTATACCTCTGTTCCATATGGAGATTATAATGCTTCTGCTTCTACGGGAATCAACAGACCAAGAAAACGCATTTAGTGTAAGCCAGAGCAATGAACCAAATGTTGATTCATCTCTATCGGTCAATAATGCCCTGAAGGTAGTTTATCTGCGTCAGTTGAGAACAGAAACGCAACAGGTAGCGTGGCTGTAACAGCTCCAGCAACAAAGTGTAGAGACCATCCTGGTAATCTCTTCTTCTTCTTAATCGCTTGTATGAGAAAATTAACTCTTTCTCAATAGAGACATCATTTAAGGGGGCTACTGTCACTGTCACGAGAACTTGATGATATAATTCTTTGCTTACTCCTTCTTTGTTGTTACAGGATCTACTCTTTCACCAGAATATTGTTACGGATTAGAGACAAATGGTTTGGATGATATACCTTGTATCGATTCGTTGGCTTCAGACACGACTACACACCAACCTCGCATTGGTGATTTGACTTCAATATATGAAGCCAGTGAGCGTACACAGAAAAAAGAAAAATCAACAAGCCATCTTCGAGTGAGAAGTTTGGCTTCTATTTGTGAAGAGGAACGACATAAACAAATCAGTAAGTTTGAGATTTCTCTATCATTCATAACAGTCTTTTTGATATTCAATTTTTGATGCAGCCGATCCTTGCAGGTCTTCCTCAATAACTCACTGCCGAATCAATCAGTGAGAGCAGCGAAAAAGATATGGCACCTTCAACTCCTAAAAAACATAAGACCAAGGGTTGACTACGACAAAGAATCAGAATGTGGGAACTTTTTATGCAGAATAATAAGAGTAATTTAGACACCGAGGAAGTGAAATTATGTGAGGAACGCGTAATTTATTTCAAGAACGCGTAAAATCATTTATAGCACAAATGCGTCTTCTACAAGGTAACAACCAACACTATGTACTAATAACCAAAACCTCAATAGACACATTGCCTATATCTCCTAAAGACCCATCTATGGGAGGCGACGATTTACGCCACTAGGTGATGCAGTCGGAAAACCCTAGGAAAAGCAAGCGCTAAACCTAGATGAAAATCAAGTTCACAAGCGATAAAGATAAAACTCTGGAATCCACCATAATAGGGTTTTGGAATCCACCAAAAAGAGAAAACTCTGAAAGTTTTATTAAGAAAAAATAAGATATATCCCTTCAGGCTACAATAATAAGTGTTTATATAAATAAAAGAAAACCCTAAAACCCAAAAGAAAAAGGAAAAACACTTAAAATTCTAAAATAAGAAAAATAGGAAAATAATAAGAAATAGCTCCTACATCGGGTTCTTCCACTTTCGACCTCGAGTTCTAATCGGGATAACGAATCACATCTCGTTTGAATGAACAACCATAGTTACTAGGTTGTAGCTTGTTGCACCTCAAGTTCTCTTCAGCATAAGGAACCACAACTAAATTGAATGAACCATAGTTGGTAGGTTGCAACTTGTTGTTCATACCATCAGGAAATCTCATCTTATAATACAACGCGATCACATCTTCACTCACTTTGCAAACTTTAGTCCTCGTACACTTGTTCAAAGTGACCTCGTTCTCACGTTGATCATATGAAACCAATTCTTTGAAATCATGGGTTACTAACACCACTTCTGGAATTATTGTCTCCTTTTTATTTCTAAAATTGTGTCCAACAGTAGAATATCAGTCGTCAAATCTTCACTTTGTTGATTCCCTTGATCAATCTCTTTCTTCATGGGTTCTTCTTCATTAGAATTGGAACTTTTCACAATGAAAACATGATCGTCTTCATTCTTTAGAACCCTAACTAGTTCTTCTCCTTTGTCTCCTTGTCGATTGCCAATCTTGTTTATTAACACCGTCCATGATTAGTAAAATCAATTGGATCTTGATTTTTTTCACCATGTTGAACCCTAATGGGTTCTCTTCCCCTATCTCTTTGTTGGTTGTTGATATAGGCGTTTCTGATCTCAGTTACTAGACTCTGATTGACAGTCACTAGATTTGCTATCTGATCGCTCAAAGCGGTTAAAGTCGCAGTGAGACCTTTAAGATCAGCTTTGGTAGCAAGTTGATCTCCCATGATCAAGTTTCGAAAAGAGACAGGAGAAAACCTGCTCTGATACCACTTGACGCAGTCGGAAAACCCTAGGAAAAGCAAGCGCTAAACCTAGATGAAAATCAAGTTTACAAGCGATAAACTTGAAAGATAAAACTCTGGAATCCACCAAAATAGGGTTTTGGAATCCACCAAAAAGAGAAAACTCTGAAAGTTTTATTAAGAAAAAATAAGATATATCCCATTGAGGCTACAATAATAATTGTTTATATAATAAAAGAAAACCTTAAAACCCAAAAGAAAAAGGAAATACACTTAAAATTCTAAAATAAGAAAAGTAGGAAAATAATAAGAAATAGCTCCTACATCACTAGGAAAAGAGAATCGTGGGTGTGGTGAGATGGATCCGATGCAAAAGCTAGCGGATTAAACCAAGTTCAAGCAAGAGGAAGAAAAAAACACAACAAAATAAACATACAAATCCGGAATAAACCGGAAAAAGATCCGAACAAAGCCAGAAAGATACATCCGGTCAAGCCGGAAACCGTAACTAAAAAAAAACAAAGAACACAAAAATATATATACATATGAACAAGCCACGACGCCGGCAAGTCGGTGGTTGGGCAAGAAGATCGAAACTCTTTTTATTCTTTTTTAGAGATAAGTTTGAGAACAAAATTTCTGATTTTTCCGAATACAGTTTCTTTAAGTAGTAAATGGATTTACTTTCTACCAAAATTTAGACCATGTTTACGGTGAGGTTTGAAGAGGTTCATGGGCCAAAATCAATTAAAATATTATTTTTGGTCTTAAACGGGTTGAGACGTCTCTGTGCAGAGCCGGTTCTTCTGGACACGTGTCAGCTTGTAGGGTTTCGATGAGATCCAAAAATTAAAAAAAAAAATTTGTTTTCTTCTTCTCTCTGTGACTGTGAGGCGCCGAGAAAAAAAATCTTGATCGGCAATCGTTGTCGGGGATCGCCTCTCCTTCCTTCTCTGTATCCTTCTCGACTCAGCTTCTTCATTCTCTCTTCCTTGCCTTCTTCCTTTCTGAATCTATAGAGAGAGACGGTGAAGAAATGGAGAACGAGCCCAGGTTTGTCATCCCGATTGCTCCCTTATGGGGATCTGGCAAACGATGTTATTCAAAAATGAAAGTCGTAGACTTTGATTCAATATGGTAACCAATAATGGTAAATCTGTGTGCTTTCTGTATGGATCGTTCGATATGAAGAATGGGTGCTTGCTTGGTTAGCTTAAGATCTTTGCCTGTTTGCAATTTTGTTCATTTCTAATCTTTATCGCCATTGATGCAAGTATTGTTTCGAAGCATTGAAAAATTATCATTTTTTCGTTGATCTGTGTTTTTTGTTGATGGCATAAGTTTTTCTCTTGTCGTTGTACTGTTTATTGTTTGCAGTAGTAGTGTTGAAACATGGCTGGCCAAAATGCACGTTTGAATGTGATTCCAACTGTTACAATGCTCGGGGTTATGAAAGCCCGTCTTGATGGTACACCGGATCTGAGCAACTGTTATGCTCAGGTTTCAGATAGTGGAGCTCAATAAGACTCAACTAGTTGCAACATTGTTTCTGGTCCTCCACAGAAACTTAAACTATTATTCAGTTTTTGGGGAATTGAAACTTTCGTTGCGGATCCACTTCTGGCTCAGCCGCTTCAGCCCATGTCTTCTTGTCCTAAACCACCACCAGCTCCTGTTATGTGATATAATGCATTTTTGGCGCATTCTAACCCTTGTTTTGTAGGRTTTTATCGAGTCTTTCACTCTCTATCGAGTCATTCTAGGTACAAAAAGTGGCTGGAAGCAATGARTGGAACTTGCAATCGGATTTGGCTAGAAAGYAATGAAGTTGGACCRTTTTTGAACATTCTGGAGAAAGGGAGCACCTAGTACAAAAGAGGGAGCACCTGCTCCCAGCAAAGTCATTAATGGGCCTTTTGCAAAACCCTAATTTTGCAACCCTAATTTTGGGCCAGCCGTCATGGACCTTTAAAAGAGGTTTTCCCTGGATCAAATCACGCAAGGAGGCAGCAGCAGAGACACAACAACAACACA